TCTCAATAAATCGTGATGTGAAAATAGATTATTGTTTGTTTTTGTATTCAAGAAAACTAGTGATATTTCCGCAATTCGAGGTGTGCAGTGAGGCCGTCTTATCAACAGCCATTTCTGAGACATAAATGCAAAGTTTAATTACTTTTAAGTCCACTCGCATTTTTTGTACTTAATTAACTTTCGCGTTAATTTCAAGATTTACAGTATATACTTTTCAAAAGAAGTGAAAGAACGCCCGATCCTTTCATATGACTAATGAGTATGATTAATCAGTCATGAGAGAAAGCGCGGAAGCGAGAAAGCGACAGGGCGAGAAAGCGATATTTCCCTAATGCCGTAAAGTTTTTTGCTGATATTGAGTGATCCAAATCTATTATTCTCACCTCTATTTTGCCTCTTAAACCTCTTTATTTCAACATCTTGTGGTAGATAAATACCAGTATGTTAGATATAGATACACAATGCTACCTCGTTTAGTTTGTATACACGCAAGTGTTTATTTTCTTGTAGTGTAGTATATTAACTAGATTCACATACATTACAACAGAAAAAAATCTTTTACTTTGACTTTATTTCGCAAAAACTCCACAGAAAGTCCGCGGATTATTTGTGCTTATTCGCGATTTCCTTTAGAAATTTAATTGCCCCTTTTATGGGAGTTATCAATTTTATGCCTACCCCCCGTCCCCCAACCCCACCCCATCCCCGTCATCGACACAAACTTTGTGTTGGATAATATTAGTTATTTTACTGGCTGGAGTACTACAAGGGTCTGTTCTTGGCCCGCTGCTGTTCTTGATTTACATAAATGATTAAGCTAATAACATAAATACTTTAGTAATATCCGACTCTTTGCTGGCGATACGTCCCTGCATATCATTGTTGAAAACCAAGGCACAGCAGCCTCAGCGTTAAACACTGATCTGATCGAAATCTCCAACTGGGCTAAAGCGTGGCAAGTGTAGTTAAGCCATGACTAGAAAACGAACTTATTTCATTCTACCGCAAAACAGTACCATTAAATAAACCAAATCTCCTTATCGATGGAATTATTGTAAAAGAAGTAGAAATGCATAAACATTAAGGCGTGGTTCTCCAGCGTGATACCCATTGTCGTTATCATAGAGGTAGCATTGTATTAAAGGTCAGTCCGATGATAAACTGTCTTAGAAGTCTAAAATACCGTCTCTCCAGGAAAAGTCTCGAAATCACGTATAAATCATTCATCTTACCAAAGTTCGATTACTGTAGCTATAGTATACTTTGGGATAACTGTACTAAAGATCAAGAGCTGACACTGGAAAGATTTAATCTGGATGCTCTTACAACCACATGTGGCCCGACACGGGGCACACGCCACGCCATATAACATGTACACAGAAACAAATCTTAAACCTTTGCCACTAAGGCGCACAAATCAATCTTTATCTTTAATCCACGAAATGGCAAACAATTTAGCACCAGCTTGTCTCTGCAACCTTATTTCAGACTTAGTTAACGCTTGCATTGATTTCATCCTTAGAAACTCCTCAGACATCCAAACAATAAGATGCAAGACTGAACACTACGCAAAATTCTTCCTACCTAACTCTACAAAATTACGGAATAAGCCATCTGAAGAAATTAAATCTACTGGCCCATACTCAAATTTTCGAAATGTATTGTCATACAATAACAATTACAAAGATTTTTTTATACAGATTTTGGATCCAGATTCTGTCAAATTATCCACTGCCGCCTCACACTCGGATGTAGGAACCTTACATTAAATTACCTTAAATTCGACAGATTCATAACTGACAGCCCTGGTTGTTCCTCTGGTCACCACTATGAAGACCCGCTACACTACTTCTTTATTTGTTGCAATTATGATCAAATTAGAATCAATTATATTACACAAAAGGATATGATAGGAATACAGTATTTTACGGATGTGAAGGCCTATCATCTGAAGCAAATCACGAAATTCTTCTATCTGTCCATACTGGTAGATTTAAACTTAATTAATGCAAAAAACCCTCACGTATAATATATATGTGTCTTGTGTACATTATGTAGTACTTAATATTACGTACAGTCCCATCAATCTGACTATCAAAACCGGACACTGCTGATCGTGCTTGATAACTGACCACCAAGGTAGTTTTTGTGTAAATATTATGTATACGTCTTAACTATCTTTGTTACTTGATTTCTATATACGGAGAGGTCTCAAAATAAGGGCTGTCTTGTTTACCTATCTCAATTTTTAGTTGAAATAAAAATATGTTTAAACTGTACATACATACATACATACATACATACATACAAACATACATACATACATACGCACGCACGCACGCACGCACGCACGCACGTACGCACGCAGCAAGACAGAGACAGACAGACAGCACAACCCACAAACCCACATAACCATCGAATAACCATCTATGGTTTCTTCGTTTTAAGCCACCATAAAACATTGGCGTATACTTTCGGTTTTAGCCACCATAAAACATTGGGGTATACTTTCGGTTTTAGCCACCATAAAACATTGGGGTATACTTTCGGTTTTAGCCACCATAAAACATTGGGGTATACTTTCGGTTTTAGCCACCATAAAACATTGGCGTATACTTTCGTTTTCAGCCACCATAAAACATTGGGGTATACTTTCGTTTTTTAGCCACCGTAAAACATTTGCGTATACTTTCGGTTTTAGCCACCATAAAACATTGGGGTATACTTTCGGTTTTAGCCACCATAAAACATTGGCGTATACTTTCGGTTTTAGGCACCATAAAACATTGGGGTATACTTTCGTTTTTAGCCACCATAAAACATTTGTGCATACTTTCCTTTTTAGCCACCGTAAAACATTTGCGTATACTTTCGTTTTTAGGCACCATAAAACATTGGCGTATACTTTCGGTTTTAGCCACCATAAAACATTGGCTTATACTTTCGGTTTTAGCCACCATAAAACATTGGCGTATACTTTCATTTTCAGCCACCATAAAACATTGGGGTATACTTTCGTTTTTTAGCCACCGTAAAACATTTGCGTATACTTTCGTTTTTAGCCACCGTAAAACATTTGCGTATACTTTCGTTTTTAGCCACCATAAAACATTGGGGTATACTTTCGTTTGCCCGTCAGTTTACATAAATAAATATACATATATACACATATATATGCCATTTTCTCGAAATATTCATCAAACATGTATTCAGATATCCCATGTCCACCAGTGTGGAATCGAACCTTATCGACTGTATGTAACAACCCACTAGATCAGCCAGTTCACGGGGAATCTATCTTCGAAGATGGCCGTCCTGTCAAGTACCATACATGCGGCACATTCACCTATAAAATCCCTTGGTCACGCAAGAAACCTATGATTGGAGGTTAGAATACCGGTTCGCCCCGATTATGTTTCTAGATTTGTCAGCACCATACCCGTGCTCGTGGGTTTCACCGAAGACGTAAACGTCTGAGACCTGCATCACTTGGGGCTTGCCTACCACATTAAGCTGACACGCCGTGATATATCTTGAATAATTTTAAAAGCGACGGAAAGGCAACTCACTCACTTACTCATTATCTTTGTTTGTTTGTTTATTTGTTTGTTGTTTAACACAATATTCCAGCTAATTGACGGCAGACTGTAAATAATCAAATCTGGGCCAGAAAATCTCATCATTGACATCATGAGCATCGATCCACGCAATTGGGATTTGATGGCATGCATCAACCAAGTCAGCGAGCCTGGCCACCCGAACCAGTTAGTCGCCTCTTACGACAAGCATGGGTTGCTGGAGACCTATTCTAACCAGGATCTTCACGCGTTTCGTGATCTATGTAATAATCAATACAACAAACACCATAAAGTAACCGGTACTCTACTCTGCCAGAAACCACTGAAGGAAAATTATATACATTCCGATTAATTCGGATTTTCTATGTGAATGTGTTTGGGTTTACACCCGTTTAGCAACAATGTACGCAGACAGAGAGAATGGGGTTTGACCATGGTACCAATGGTGGGACTCGAACCTAAGTCTGAACCTGAGGAAGATCTTTAACCACCTGCCTTACCCCGCCGCCCTGTGCTTCCAGACTCTGCCGCCGCTATTTACAGTGCAGAGTTGCGTCCCTTGGTGCCGTGATCCGCTGCTCGGGCGTTCGAATGATCAATCCCATATTCGCTATGTTCATGATCATTTCTCAACACCATACCCATACTCCAGGAGGGGTGGTCGGGTAGCCTAGTGGTTAAAGCGTTCGCTCGTCACGTCGACGACCCGGGTTCGATTCCCGACATGGGTACAATGTGTGAAGCCCATTTCCGGTGTCCCCCGCCGTGATATTGCTGGAATATTGCTAAAAGCGGCGTAAAACCATACTCACTCACTCACCCCATACTCCAGGATTTCCCCTACGTGGCTAACGTTCCAAGCATGCGTAGCTTTAGATCTAGCTGACACGCAGTGATACAACTTCAAACGGCGTTAAACCCAACTCACTCACCATCGTCATATATTTAGAAGCATCAGACAAGAAACGTGTTCAGATTTTGTATTGAACTAGGCTATACACAAGTGAATACTATTCCTCGTCAGTTTGCATAGCCTGACTTATTTAAATCGATCTGTTTTACGCTTCATTTGTCACCATGACAACGGCTCCCCGGGCGCTGATACACTGTCAAGTCATTGAGCGTGCACGGTGAAATACCTTTACGAAACCTGAATAAGTTCAAGGCAGCTAGTCTGTCGTTCACGTGATATAAGGGGGATAACTCCGCGTCTTACCTGGGCAACTTTCACGATGAAATCGCAGCACTGCGATTATTGTAACTCCCATACTTTAACATAGGTTTATATTATTTGTAACGCTAAGATCATTTTATACAAGTGGGTCCTGACAAGAATCACAAATGCAGTTTGTATCATGTCAATCGTGACAACACACACACACTGTGACACACTCATGCACACAAATATAGTCCGGCGCCATCAAAGGGACATAATCACTGCGGGGCGTGTATACGTCACTATTCCCGCAGAAGCAGAATGGACGCGAAGCTGGAAAGGTGTTTTCCTGTATTGTGAAAAGCTACCAAGATGTCAACGGTCACCACACAAACCGTTCAGGTGAGAAATTATCATTTACATTTTACATATTGTCACACGATATGAACAAAACCCACAGTCACATTGATATATACTGATTGACATGAGGAATATACGCAGTCTGTGTATATATCCAATGTCGCATCGATGAATCATTTCATTTAGATACGTCGTTACGCAACATATATAATCAGCTACTGTGTCGAGGTAGTATTGGTCCTACTTTACCTGGGGCGGTAGGGTAGTCTAGCAGTTAAAGCGTTCGCTCGTCACACCGAAGACCCGGGTTCAAATCCCCACATGGGTACAATGTGTGAATTGCTGGAATATTGCTAAAAGTGCCGTAAAACCATAATCACAACTTTCACTCTACCTCACCTGTCCATGATCTCACCCTTACCAATGTCGCACCGAGCAGCAGGTGTTGTCGAACGTTGTTGCATCGCCGATCATACATTTGAATATCACGTTACAAACACAAATCTGTTTGGAGACAGGCATCGTGAATGTCGAATAGTCATATAGAATGTAGTGCCGAGTAAACTATCGTTTCTTCCATTAGTAATAAGTAAATTGCAATTTGAAGAACATGCTATTGGATGGCCGTGCCATGTTGAATCGAATTATCTTTGCAGCAGTGGTGAATATTATTTTATTGTTTTGTTTGTTGTTTAACGCCGCACTCAGCAATATGACAGCTATGTGACGGCGGTCTGTAAATAATCGCGTCTAGACCAGACAATCCAGTGATTGACATCATGAGCCACGATGACATGCAACAACCAAGCGTGCCCAACCACCCGATCCCGTTAGTCGCCTCTTACAAGCATAGTCGCTTAGTGGATATGCCTTTTAGAGTGTTGTGTTTGAAGACAATAAACAATAATACGTAAGCGTCATTAATAGATAAATAGATAAACAGATAAATAGAGGCATAACAAGATATAAATAGAAAGGTAGATAGAGAGAGTTTGTACAAGAAATTAGTTTATTTGGTTTGACCATCAAATGCTGTTCTACAAATGGCCCCCGGACATGCAGGCCTCTCATTGACTTAAAATGTATTTCTTATCCCAGACAAACTCTCTGCTAAGACACACTGGAATATATTGCTGGTTGTAACGTATCCAACCTTTTTCGATTTCCCCGTTAATAATTGATAGCTATAACAAAACTTGTAACGTACCACCATACATTTCAAGTGGGAAAGGCGATTTCAGAGTGTCAATATCAGGGAGTCTATATATAATGGACACCATCAATCTCCATCACGATATAATAGTGAAAGCGTGATCGATTGTCGATCGTATACACCAAGTCAACCAATTCATTGTTTTATTTGTTTGTTGTTTAACGCCGCACTCCGCAATATTCCAGCTATATATCATAAATAATCGGGTGTGGACCAAACAATCCAGTGACTGATATCATGGGCATCGATCCACGCGATTCGGATACAATGACATGCGTCAGCGAGCCTGACCATCCGATCCTCGTGTATAATTCCGCGCATGCCCTTTTGTTGGTGTATCATTCCGCGCATGACCTATTGCTGGTGTATCTTTCTGCGCATGACCTATTGCTGGTGTATCATTCTGCGCATGACCTATTGCTGGTGTATCATTCTGCGCATGACCTACTGCTGGTGTATCATTCCGCGCATGACCTATTATTGGTGTATAATTCTGCGCATGACGTATTACTGGTGTATGAATCCGCGCATGACCTATTACTGGTGTATCATTCCGCGCATGACCTATTGCTGGTGTATCATTCCGCGCAATACCTATTGCTGGTGTATCATTCCGCGCATGACCTATTATTGGTGTATAATTCTGCGCATGACGTATTACTGGTGTATGAATCCGCGCATGATCTATTACTGGTGTATCATTCCGCGCATGAACTATTACTGGTGTATCATTCCGCGCATCACCTATTGCTGGTGTATCATTCCGCGCATGAACTATTACTGGTGCATTCCATCAGCGCATGACCTATCACTGGTGTATCTTCAGCGCATGACCTATTACTAGCGTATAATTCCCCACACCACTGGAGTAGTCTTTCTCACAGTCCCTGCACCATATTATTTTCTCTTCACCAAGCCCTTACAGTAATGCTGTAGCCCTAAATGAAGCAAGTCTAGATTTTCCGCAGTTTCCCGTTTCACTGGGGCTCTTCAATTTAGATAAAGTTGCTTGTTTCTGTCAAAATTATATATTTTCAGAGACAAAGCGTTAGTCCTATCACCGGAGCAGCATTACGCCATGGTCAAACTAGGTCGCAGCGTATCAATAAGTAACCGGCCATTAATAATTAACCCTGTTGTTTCCTCGGTCGATAAGCAGTAATTGCCATGACGCACAGACATATATACTGTCATCATATTCTTTCGAAACATTTTGGTTTTAAATATTAAAATTGCGTGATTAAGTATGAACATTTCTCGGAAATGCGTTGCTATTAACGTCCAGAATCGATGTATTCAGTCCCTATGTAAATGTCGAACATACGAACAGCCCCGTCTTCACCGATCCAAAATACACTGCCGGGCAAAAGAAAGTATACATTTGAAAATTTTATTTGACCCAAATATTACAAAACGTTACTGTGCTGAAAAGAAGTCGCCGATTACACTGCACACTTAAAGTCCAAAACACAACTATGCTACCCGTATCAGAGATATCGCCATCGAATAACTATTTCTTGTTTATTTCACTATTAGACACCATCAAACATGGATGTATACTTTCTTTTGCAGGGCAATATATACCCTCTGCATCGCGCATGCTCAGACTGATAGTTCAGCATTGGATTGTTGTCATGACTCGCTTACCCCATGACGCCAATCATACTTAAAAGGTTTGCACGTGCAGCTTGCTAAAATGTGTGAAAGGCGTCAGAGAGCGATAAACGTCTTTTCACAGTTTTGTTATAGATCTGTGACAAACATATACGTGACATGGGCGAACTATCATTGCCCCTCAGGGCCGTTCCTCAAAGCAATCTTAGCAGTACGTCTGTCGTTCGTCTATGTTTAGACCGCCTCCGTGGTCTTGTGGTAGAGCGTCCGCCCGGAGAGCGGAAGGGTTCGATCCCGGTCCTCGTCATACAAAAAGACGTTAAAAGATTGTACTTGTTGTTACCCTGTCTGGCGCTCGGCATTAAGGGGCTAAAACAAGGACAGGTCGGCTCGGAGTCAGTAAACTGTGTCTGAGTGGGGTATTCATGTTAAACTGCGGCATGGTATCTCAGTGAGCTAGCACTATAAATCGGCATCAGTCCGGACTAGTACAAGCAGCCACACACACACATACACGTGCATGCACGTCGCTATATAAGTGCAATAATCTTGGACGCGACGTTAAACCCAATTTCACCTCACCGTCTATGTTTAAGTGAGAGAGAAATAGTATAGTTTACATAAGATGTGTATATACGAAAAATGGACATATAATTTAAGTAACACCCAGCCATAAGGTTTTGAGACACAATAAAACAATAAATACATGTACATATAAAACATAAGATTGAAGGATATTGTTCGTATCCTGTACGAAACATTATTATACATAGTAATAGTCATAGTTACCATCATGTTCATGAATTAAATAATTAATCACGTTTATACAGTTTATAAAGTGTGCTAGCTATTGCTAATAGGACATGTACATTTTCTGACTTTAAAATATTTATACATTTGTTTAAATCGGCAAAGGTAGGATTTAATCGCATACAATATTTATAAAGAGCTTGTCTTAAATCTTCATAAAAAGGACATGTAATTAAAGTAATGGAGTTACGATCATCTCAGCACAAAGAAAGCATCTGTGGAACGGACCCCTAGACCTATATTTTTCCTGAATTATTTCTTGTCATTTCTGTAATGTATAACAAACACCTTATTTGGCGATTGTGTTACGTCTTAATATCAGTTTACCCCTGGGGGACCCGGGTTAAATAACCGAGTCTGGACCTGACAATCCAGTGATTGACATAATGAGCATCGATGTACTCAGTTGGGATACGATGACATGCATCAACCAAGTCAGCGAGTCTGACTTCCCGATCCTGTTAGTTACCTCTTACGACAAGCATACTCGCCTCTTATAACAAGCATAGTCGCCTCTTACGACAAGCATTGTCGCCTCTTATAGCAAGCATAGTCGCCTCTTATAACAAGCATAGTCGCCTCTTAACACAAGCATAGTCGCCTCTTAACACAAGCATAATCGCCTCTTATAACAAGCATAGTCGCCTCTTATCACAAGCATAGTCGCCTCTTACGACAATCATGCGTTGCTCAAGACCTATTCTCGTCCCGGATCTTCTCGGCTGAGGTGACTTGGTTGATGCCATGTCATCGTTCGCTAATATTCGGTAGATCGATGCGCATGATGTCAATCACTGGATTTCCAGTTCTTGGGCCCCGTTCCGTAAAGCGATCGTACCGCTCCAATGATCGTAAGCCTAAGATGAAGTATGGGAGGTACTATCACCTTAGCCCTGAGATCACTTTGCACACGGCACCCAGGCACAGTTATTTACAGGCCACCGTCATACAGCGGGATAATTTCTGAATGCGGCGTTAAAAAACAAACAAACTCGCAAAATAAACAACCTTTTTTACGTTTGTTGCATCGATGAAACAGATTTTGCTGCCAGCTGAACATAAAGAAGGACTGAGTGAAAGTGAGTGAAGGAGTGAAATTGTACCAAAGTTTTGTTTGTTTGACTGTTGTTTAACGCCGCACTCAGCAATTTTCCAGCTATATGACGGCGGTCTGTAAATAATCGAGTCTGGACCAGACAATCCAGTGATTGACATCAAGAGCACTGAGCCACGCAATTGGGATCGATGACATGCATCAACTCTGGCCTGTGGAGTGACGAGCAAACTCTTACCCACTTGCGTAAAGAAACTGAAGGTCTACCAGTTGTGTAGAGGATATTTGTCAAATGTTTGAAATTTGTCAAATATTTGCTTTTGTCAATTCTGAACAAGTTATGTTAGTTAT